GGTGTGTGTGTGTGTGTGTGTGTACTACCTGTGTGCCTTGTACCCAGAAGTCAGAAGATGGCACTAGATGCCCTGGAACTGGAGTTATGGGTGGTTTGGAGTCACCATGTGGGTGATGGGAACCAAACCTGGGTCCTCTGCAAGAGCAACAAGTGCTCTTAACTGCTGAGCCACCTCTCCAGCCCCTAGTATCCTATTTTCTTTTTCTTGAGGTCTCATGTAGCTCAGTCTGGCCTTGAACGCCCTAAGTAACCACAGATAGCACTGAACTCCTAACCTCCTGCCTCAGCATCACAAGTGCTGGGATAGACAAGCATGTACAACCACATTACTCCTAGAACAATACTCACGGTGTTTAGACAGACGAGAGGAGCTCGGTGTCCACGCACTCCAGTGTTACCTAGCACCGCCAGCATACAGCTCTCCTCTCTACCCCCAAGCTATTTCCAACTGACATCCATCAGGTGAGCCTCAAATCAACCCTCTAGTAGGATGGCTAGTTTCATCACTGACGCTTCCAAACGCCCCACATTCTTGCTTCTGCTCACCTGTTTTACCTACATGTGTTTCTCCCTTCTGCCTTTCCAAATCCATCCATCATACCCTTATTTTCAATCAAATCTTTCAGGAACTCTTCCCTGACCAGGTATACAAATTATCTGTTCTTCAGAATTTATAATACTTACTCTCTCCTATTTTAACTCTAAACACCCTGAGCATCAATTCCACTGTCCTTTTTAACTAGTCTTTTCAATTAACTATGGCAGATTTTCACATCCCAGGCTGGGCTGTAAATGCTCTAAGAAGTCTGGTAACAGACTCGTTCCTTCACTGCCCCGATACAATGAACAGTACACAGTGGGTGCTCATCAAATATTTATGGTCTTCTTACAGTAACAACAGCTGAAGGGTTGCCACAGAGCATTATAAATATAGTATTTCTCGCCGTCCTGCACTCTGAGATAGGTTCCCTGCAGTCCTCACACAGAAATAGTTTTTGCTCCTTTGTGAGTAGTCTGATGATGAGTGGAGTTCTGCCTGAACAATTCCCCACACTCCTTACCCTGACAGGGAGCACTTCTATTATGAATTCTCTGGTGCTTCCTAAGGCCTGACCTCTGTCTGAAGGTCTTGCCACACTTATCACATTTGTAGGGATTCTCCCCAGTGTGGATTCCCTGATGCTGAATGAAGCTAGTGCTTCCTGGAAAGGCATTCTTGCACTCATCACATTTGTGGGGTTTCTGCCCAGCGTGCATTCCCTGATGTTTCATGAGGACTGACCTCTGAGTAAAGGCCTTCCCACACTCAGCACATTCATAGGCTCTCTCTCCAGTAGGAATTTGCTCATGTTCTGTAAGACTTCAGTTTTGAACAAAAGCTTTCCCACAGATATCACACATGTAAGGCTTCTCCCTGGTGTGGTTTCTCTGATGCTGAGTAAGACCACTTTGAGTGAAGGGTTTTTCCTTGTGGTGCATTTCCTGATGGGTAACAAGAGATGAGTTATAAACAAAAGCTTTCCCACACTCACTGCATGCACAGGGTTTTGCACCAGTGTGAACTCCTTGGTGCTGAGTAAGTGTGGAATGGCAATTAAAACTTTTATTACCCTGAAGACACTAACAAGGTCTGTTCCTTTTGTGGCTCTTGAGATGGTGAAAGAGGCCCGCTTTCTGGCAAAAGGCCTTGCCACACTCAGTACAGTGGTAGTGCTTTTCTCCTGAGTGAAGCCTCTGATGTTGGTTGAGAGCTGACCACTGGCCAAAGGCCCTGCCACACTCATTACACTTGTATGGTTTCTCTCCAGTGTGGACCACCTTGTGTCGAGCGAGCACAGTCCTCCATCGGAAAGTTTTCCCACACTGCTCACATTTGTAGGGCCGGTCTCCAGTGTGGACCCTTTTATGTTCTACGAGGCGTGAGTGCTGACTGAAAGATTTTCCGCAGTCATCACATCGATGCAATTTCCTCCCTGGACAGATGTTCTGGTGTTCAGCACGGTGTTCTGAGATCTCAGGCAAATGTGCCCCATTTTTATTATGCAGAAGCCGGTTGTCCTTCCTGGGAGCTCCAGAAGGCTCCTCTCCAGGGCCATGGGTTTCTTCACACTGGAGTGCATCTTTTGCTAATCTGCTTGAAGTATTCTGTTCTGCTTCCATTCCTTCCGAAAGGTCTTGCTTCAGAGTTCCATTCCTGGACTCATTTCCAGTCTCCACACCTGAAACTACAAAAAGGAGCCTGCATGTCACCCACTCGCAGCGGAAGGAAGTGACAGCTTATGAAATCAGCAACAGAAAACTATTCAAATGCAAGTCACATATCCTCAGAGTTCCCACTACAAACTATAAAACTGCATTAGGATGTAAGATGAATCAAATGTATATAAAGCACTCCAAAAATGAGTAAGGAGGTAATAACTCACCAAAAACTAGGCAAAGGGAAACTACAGTTTCCTAAGGAGGAGACAGACAGCTCCCACAGGGAGACACTACTCCATAATCAGGCAAAAATGAGTTAAACAGCACAGATACAACTTTTTAAAACGTTTTATTATTTTATGTGTGAGTGTGCACATGCCAGGCCACATGTGTGGAGGTCAAAGGACAACTTTTGGAAGTCGGTTCTCGCCTACTGTGGACTCTGGGATAAACTCAGGTGGTCAGCCCTGCACAGCGGTACTTCTATCTGCTGAGCCATCCTGTCAGCCCAAGGTGTGATTTTTCACTCACTGGACTTGCCTCGTTACTTGGGTATTACACTGTACTCACAAAATGGGCACACAAACTGCTGGTGTGAATTTATCCAAATTGTTATGGAAAGTAATTTCATAATATCTACTGAAATTATAACAGTACATAACTTCTGACACACAGTACTACAGATAGAAATCTATGCTATGGTATTTATTACAGCACTATTTGTTATAACAAAACACCAAAGACAAATGTCATCAGTAGCAGCTGGCTAACCTGCTTCATGGCTTGTCTACAGTTCTTAATACTAAGCAGCTGTTAAGAAATAAAAAAATGCAAGAGTCTACCATCATGGCCTAAACGAGAAGAAAATCTTTACTAAAAAGTCTCTGAAGGACACATAAGAAACCAAAAACAGTGACAATTTGCTTCAGAGTTGGGGGAGGAGATGAGATGAATCAATGGCACAGAAACTTTTCAGTGGATAATTTTTATAAATCCTTCTCTTAAAACCACAGGACAGTTTACCTATTAAAAAGCTAAAGATCAGAGGAAGCAGAGATGAGGAAGGTAGCAAGTGCATCTCTTCACCACCTCTAACATCTCTGCCATGTTCTCTTTCCTGTTCCTTCACTCATAGGTAAGTCCCTCTTTTCCTCTCAGACTGCTAGGTAGCTGCAGACAGCATGGAGCAAAAACTTAGTTACTAAAAGGGCTAAGGATACAGACCAGGGAGAAGACAAAAATACTTTTTAGTAGGTCCAAGGCTACAAATAGCAGAGGTCAGAATAAAGAATTACAGCTATCAGAAGAATGAAATTAAACCTAAACAAATAGACAGATTTTGGAAAAGTACTAATTTTGTAAGAAGAAAGGGGGCTGTGGATGCACCTTAGAGAGAGAACCTCACGCGTGAGGTTCTGGGCTTGAAGGAGGGAGGGAAATTAACTGAAGTGACAAACCGTGATATCTGGACGTCCACACACGAGCATCAGGTTTCTGGACAGGCCCTCCTGACTTTAATGAGGAAAACGGTGGGAAGCACAAACCAGCCCTCAGGTCCTGCCTCAGCCCTGCTCTCCCTCCTGCTCCCTTCTTCTTTACCTTGCTCCTCTCGGGCTTCACATTCTGCAGGTTCACACCCCAGCTTGGCTTTCACAAGTCCAAGGGACGCACTGGGTTCTAGCTCTGCCCCTAAAGGCTTCAGCTCCTGCAAAAATATTTTCTGTTCTTCAGTTTGTGTTGAAGCCTGAGGGAAATGAGAGAAGTACTCTAATAACAGCGAACAAGACTATAGTGTTCCCGGCGTTGGCACTTGGCCTGCTCAAACCTGAAATGACCTTTTTCACAGCAATCAGCCTGCCTCCATCCCACTCATTTTTCAGGGTCATTTTAAAACATCACCCTCTCCGGGACCTTCCTTTCCCCAGTACAGCTAAATTGTGTTGATTTTCTGCTATTTTTACATCTTCGTCTAATGCTCAGAGAATGAAGTGGAAAGAGGTGAAAGGAGAGATTAAAAGAAGGCAGAAAGGAGGAGAAAAGGATTTAGGAGGAAGGGGCTGGAGAAATGTTCAATATTAAGAACATTTGCAGCCGGGCGGTGGTGGCGCACGCCTTTAATCCCAGCACTCGGGAGGCAGAGGCAGGAGGATCTCTGTGAGTTCGAGGCCAGCCTGGGCTACCAAGTGAGTTCCAGGAAAGGCGCAAAGCTACACAGAGAAACTCTGTCTCGAAAAACAAAAAAAAAAAGAAAAGAAAAAAAGAAAAAAAAAGAACATTTGCTGCTCTTCAGAGGACTGGGATTTGGGGTTCCCAGTATCTACATCACGTGACTTCCAACTGTCTAGTTAATAGGTTCAGCTTCCTAAGATGATTTCCACTAATTCTATTTTGACCTATGGGCCTCGCTACCACCACTATAGAATTACCAAATATAGCAACCAGAGTCATTATTTTAAAATCTACTTTACATTTCTCTTCTACTCAAAGCTAGGCACCAACTTTTTATCTATAAAATCTAAATTCTTTATAATGGTCTGCAAGTCTCTATATGACATAATTTCTTCAATTCTTTCATCTTCTTTAAGAGTCGCCTCTCCCCTAGGCACACTGGCAACACTTAAGGTCTATGCAGTTAGCATTTCCTCTGCTTGCATGCTCTGTGGCCCGTCTACTGAACGGCACGACCCTCAATTCCTTCACTTCTCTTTTTCTCTATCGTTTTAGTAGGTTTATCAACATCGAACACCTTATTACATACATGGAACCTTTTTTCCTCTATCTCTTCTCAGTAGACTAGAATCTACATAAGAACAGTAACTTGTATATGATGTTCACTGCTGCATCCCAACTACTTCTGATGGTGTGTGACACAGAACTGGTACTCCATAACTGCAGAATGGCCACCTACAGTCTTAACCGTTAGAAGTGTCTTTATTACAGTTCTCTTAAAAGCTTCAAAACCTTAGTGCACAGCCCATGACAGAGTCCTCAGTAAGGACGTCTCCACTGACACAGACCCTCCCCTGTCGGAATGTAGCCTAGGCTGCCTTTCATCTGCTGACCTCCTGGCCTCCTATACCTGACTACTGGGATTAATTTCCCTTTCTTGTGTGTGTGTGTGTGTGTGTGTGTGTGTGTGTGTGTGTGTGTGTGTGTGTGTGTGTGTATCAGAGGACAACCTCAGATGTCACTTTCAAGGTGTTATCCACTTTTTTTTTAAAGACAGTGTCTCTCACTGGCCTACAACTCACCAAGAGGACTAGACTGGCTTGTCAGTGAGCCCTCTGGAACAGTCTACTTACTTTTTGAGACAAGGTGTGTCACTGGCCTGAAATGCAAGTAGGATGGGTTGACCGGCCAACGAACCCCAGGGAACGGCCTTTCCCCACCTTGCCAGCAATGGGATTAAAGATGTGTGCCACCATGCCCAGCAATTTCTATGTGGATTTGGGGGATCAAACTCTTATCTTTGTGCTTAAAAGGCCAAGACTATACTGACTGACCTGGGTCTACAGCCATGAGCCACAATATCTGGCCCCAGAACCTTCCTTATAGATCCTATCTATCATCATTTCCACTCAATTCCTATCCAAGTCACACCCTGTACTTTGTAGCCAGGATTTCATGATGCTGTTTCAAACTTTTTGACACAAGCTTCTTTTCTCTCTCCCATCTATTTTATAACCAAATGTCAGCTTAACATTTCTTTTATTTCACTCTTTATACTGAGATCTCATAGGTTTAGCTCTTCTGACACACTCTCAGTAAGATCATTTATTGCTATCTGAAGCTGGCTTGTACGCTATAAGATGTGTAGAATCATATCTGCCCTCCTCAGTTATAACACCCAAAAATTTTCTAAGAAATTGCCAAATATCCTCTTTGGCTAGAAATCACCACTGGTTGAAAACCAGTCTTGTCATAGTTAAGACAAAAATAACAAAGGAATGATTCTCTCTTATGCCTCCTTTACATGATTTTTATAGCTCACGTAGACTGTGGAGAAAAGATTTTTAAAAAGCCTTTGTACTAGAAGAAAATTTAAACCGAGAGGTTGATGGTCAAGGTCATGAACTCTGTATCTCAACTTTTCTACACAAACTTCACCTTTCCAACACAAATGGGTTTGCTATGCCTCAAATATGCGTTGCCCATCCTGGCCCTCCCATCTAACTTTCCATTTGCTCCCACATCTCATTCATTCAAGACAGTGACTTTGATTTTCCCATTTTTTAACTGTTTCATGCAGAATCAGGGTAGTGGGTTTATGGTGTAGGACTTTTCCTGGGGAGAGGTGAGTAAGCTTCTATTCACTCCAGAGAGGGCATTGATAACAGACCAAATAAAGAGCCCATCTAAGTCTACCTTGACCAATCAATGAGTTTCTTGAGCTTGCTTACAGTCCAGGTGAGGGGTTTCTTACACACCAGGGTGGAAGTCCCACCCTAGCACTGGTGAGGAATTCATCAAATTTGCAACACTGGAGTCCTGCTGCTCACTAACAGCTCCCGGGTGTGTGTGTGTGTGTGTGTGTGTGTGTGTGTGTGTGTGTGTGTTAAC